GAGAATGTTTAAGAAAATAATACATAAAGTCGATAAATATATAGACGGTAGAAAAAGAAACCGTAGCAATATTGTATTAAACATCAGATGGTTGTCACTCTTGTCATCCAATGAGGGTTTCTCAGCATATCTTTCATTGATCTTACTTTGATTAAGTTCTAAAGTTATCCTTTGTTTGTGATGTCTTTCAATCACCTTTGAAGGCTTATCCATATGGAAAGGCCTTCTTATCATTTCGCCTCTGGTTTTGAGGTTCATTATGGATTAACACTGTGCTTTGTTCTTGGTTTGGAGAATCAAATAAAGTGTAATCATTCAATGTTTAATGTAGTAGGAAACACAATAGGAGAAAACAGAGACAGCTCAATTCACATAAAGTAACAGGTTAAAAATACATGAGGTTTAAAATATACAGATTATAAAGAGACGTGTAGTACTTTTGTAGTGCTACTAATAATATGCAGATAGACAGTGTATGCGGTGTCAAATAGGGGCTGACATAGATTGATATGCAGGCTGGTGTAGCTCAGGTTTAGCCTGATACGTGGACTGACTGGATGATTATTATCATGGAATAACAGTGATCAGGATCTCATCTGTCTCTTGGGGCTTTGATACAATCTGAATAAGACTAGGATTGAGAAATCTCGCCCTCCCTCTCTTCCTGGTAATCTGAGACAGAGCGATCTGCCAGCACGTTAATCTGAACGGGGATCAGCAGCGCTCAATCCCCGCTGGCCTCTTTGATGGGAGCCCATCATACTGCGAGGGGAGTCAAGAAAAGACTGGCTTCATCCCTTTCTCTGACCATCCCTTCCTCTCCCAATCCCCTCTCCTCTCAATCCCTCCCTCCTGCAAATCTCCTCTGCTCCTATTCGCTGCCTCTCTATCCGGCCCAGGCGAAGGCATTATGTTCTTACCCAGCCAGCCAAAGGGACAAATTAAAATGTGTTGCACTCTCTCTCTCTCAGTCCGTCTAATCTTCTTAGAGACTAAGGCAAGAGCTCCATCTTTTTTCTGCATCCGATTCCCTTCACTTGGTAAAGTCTTGCGGGCACAAAGCAGCACATCTACTCGAACACACACACAAATGTTTGGGATTTTGAATCCGTCAGGACAAATCTCCCTAAAAAAAAAAAAAGTTTGTGTAGGAAACTAATCCTCAGAAATAAGAAGGCACAACCGGCTCGGCTGGATCAAAAGACTGAAAAGTAGAAACAAACAACAGCACGGTCACTCTCACTTTCAGGAGGATTTAATGGAAACAGGTCAGCTGATCAATCCTCACACACACACATCGTGGCCTTTACACACTTCCTTTCTCATCTTCATATCCACGTACACAAAAAGAAATAGATAGAGCTGACCTGTTCCCACCTCCACTTAACAAACCCTCTCCATCTCAATTCCTAATTCCACTAATCACCTGTCCACTTAGTACACACACACACACAAAAAATGGCTCACCACTCTTTAGCAACACTACCTAACCTTGACCATCGCTCACATGCGTGTGCCGCCATAATAGGCCCGGCCACCTGACAATCCTCTACCTAACCTTGACCATTTAGCACAAAATTGGCCACCTTTCTCTATCATTACATTTAATTAGCTGTGATTAATCAGCTGCCAATTATACCAAACAGAGCCCAAAGAGACACCGCTCTGGACAGCCACTTGACGCTCTCAGAGGGGGATAAAAGTATTTGTGTGTCGAGTGTGTGCATATCCGAGTTATGGATATGATTCTCTTGTTGTATATATCCTCTTCAAGATATCTGTCGTCATACAAGTTTAAATGACAGTTCAGGGAGGAACTTTCTGTGCACAGACTTTCTTTTCTATGCAGGTACAGTAGTTCACCAACACTCAACTGCTCATGCTATAATGCTGGATTTGTCAATATTAACATACTAACAAAGATGTGTAACATGAAAGATATCGCTCATTGAAAAACGCAATCATCAGACTCTGAACTTTACCTCAGCTCTACACAAAGAATTTAGCATCTTTCAGGTTTGTTTTTGGTTTTCAGCACCACCCACCGACTTTACTAGCTCAGCAGCAAACAGTAAACAGACAAGGCTAGGACTAGCTAGTGAAAACAACAAAAAAGATTAAGAATTACAATCTTCTTTATTCTACTTAGAAAAAAGAACAGTAAAAATAGAGATCTGTGGCTTCAGGTAATCCACAGAGAGGATTAACAGCAGTGTTTCCCATACATTGATCTATTTTTGGCGAGCCGTAACAATTAAATATTGTCTGCCACAAATGGATCTCATAAAAAATGTAAAAAAATGTAAAAAAAAAATTATTTTATTTTGGTGGTGTAATGGATCGTGAGGTGGGCTGATGATCGGGAGGTTGTGAGTTCAAATCCCGCCTGGAACACCACCACTAGTGTGCCCTTGAGTAAGGCCCTCAGTTACTCCAGGGAGAATGTCCCTGTAATTGGTCGTTGTAAATCGCTTTGGAATAGGCGTCTGCTAAATGCCTA